TACTAAGGATTGCTAATATGCTGCTCCTCCTGCCTCAGCCTCCTGAGTTGCTGGGATTACAGGCGTGCACCACCACACCCCTCAGGATTTCCTTTTTTAAGGTTGAATAATACTCCRTTGTGTATACATGCCATCTCTTCTTATACATCCCTCCATTGATTGGTATTTGGGTTGCTTCCACCTTTGGTTATTGTCAGTGATGCTGCAGTGGACATGGGAGTGCAGATCTCTCTTTCAGATCCTATCTACTGTGACTTTTTATTGGAGCTATTTGGCTTCTCTAGTTATTTCTTTTTTCTTGCTGTTTCCTTTTCTTCCTCTCATTTCCCATCCCCCCAGTATGCTTCCACCCCAATGCTCAGTCTTTCCCATTCCTGGCTTCCTGTCTTGCCACTCCCCCGATGACCTCTAGACCAAGGGCTCTGGGGAAGCCTGGGACAGTGGAGAGGACCCTGGACTAGGGTTAGGCTCCTGGAACTTTCATGTGCTCTTAATAGACTTGGGCGGCTCTTCCCATCTGTACCTCAATTTCTCCACCTACTGGATGAAAGGAATAGGCAGAAAAATCTTTCCACTTGAAAGCAGCTATACACTGCCAGCTACACAGCTCCAGAGTTGAGCTTTCTCCTGTCCTGTGCTCTGGCCAGTACAAGGACAATCCTGATGGACATATTTATTCAAGTGACCCTGAAGCTCCTTGAACCATTCTTTGTGATGGTTAAGGTGTCGGCTTGAATGTATTAAGGAATACTTCGAAGCAAGCATTACTTCTGGGTCCCATGTCCCACCTACTTAGGAGGCTGAGGCAGGAGATTGCAAGTTTGAGGCCAGCCTCAGCAATTTAGAGAAGCCCCAAGCAATTTAGCAAGATCCTGTCTCAAAAAATAAAAAGGACCAGGGATGTGGCTTGGTGGTTAAGTGTCCCTGGGTTCAATCCCATGTTAACAGAAATAAGCCAGGCACTGAAAAGCAATTACCATATGATCTCGTATAAATATAAAAAAGTTGATCTCAAAGAAGTTGAGAATACAGCTGGGAATGGTGGTGCAAACTGTAATTCCGGTAACTTGGAAGACTGAGGCGGGAGAATCCCAAATTCAAGGTCAGACTCTGCAATGCYGCAGTCTGGCTGGGCACAAAATAACCGAGCTGCCACAAAGCCTTGTAGGTTCAAACAGCAACTCTTTATTCCCAAACTCTCACCGGCACTCTACACACACTT